ATTTCCACGTGTGGGGAATTTTCAGTCTTTCTCATAAATATTCTTCCATTTGACGTCCAGCAGTATTTGTATCCAGCGGACGAGGCCAAGTCGCGTGCCAGGAAAAAAATTCTTCTAGCCTTTGCAGTGAGGGCTTCGGAAATATAAACGGGAGTGGGTGCACCCCCAAGGCCCAAGTGAGTGGTGTCAAGCCGTTGGTTCGGGTGTTTTTTGTTGAACTCTTTAACCATTCTAACTAGATCCAGCTTAGTGGCAGTTCTTGTGAAGTCCACCACAATTGTAGTTTTTCCTGTCTTGCCTTTGACTTCGAAGACGGTCCTAATATCGTTGTCCTGGACTCTGACGTTCAGAGCCGTGCACGTATCCATCACTATCTTCCTTAAGTCTGGCTTTAGATCAGTTTTGTTGTGTAGAGGTAGGTTCCTGATTTCAATGGTTGTCGATTTTAGATTCCTTTGTATTTCCTCTAGTCTGCTCTCAAGCTCCGAAATTTGTAGTACGTGTTGTTTGCGTTCTTTTTCCAGATGATCTATTCTTTTGTTAACGTTTTCATATTGGGCTGAGATCAATTCCATAGATTTTTCGATTTCTAGGTTACTTTGTTGAATTTTTAGATTTTGTGTTTTAATTTCTGCTATGTCCATTACAAGTTTGTTCAGGATCTCATTTTGACTGTCTTTCATATCCGCCAACATTTTTCTGATCTCATCTTTAAAGGAACTCATGTTCTCATCCCCTCGTTTTTTCTGCCGCTGGGTCACAGAAGATGTTGAGGGTCCCTGTTCTTCTGGTTTGGAGACATCTTGATCTGATTGATTATGCTGCGACCCTTTGCAACTAGTTGGGCTTCTTTGGACACGACGCATTTTTCTCAGGTTCTAAGTTTACGTGGTCGCTATTACAGATGGATGTGTCGGCCAGTGTATATTGAGCTTTCGAAGCACGTTGGCTGGTCGCGTACGGAGGTCTTGTTACTTTGGACTAGTTAAATTCGCGACGAGCACAGTGGACACGTCCGAACGCTTTCGCGATCCGAGGAGGAAGGGGAATTGAATTATGGAACTAAGATTAACTCCGTTACATAAACCAAAATATTTTGTCTATAAAATTAAAATTGAACGGTAATTCCGAAAAATAGTATTTATATAAACTCGTCGCGGTTCACCACCTATCAACTGTTGATAAATTGTGTACCTATGTTTGTGCATGTTGTTTGACCTTTAACTGTACAGCCATGTTTATCTCGCTAGTTTTGTTTATTTATTCAATTGATAACGCTTTGTATATAAACGATAAAATATAATTACAGTTATTGCAGATAATAATAATAAATCTATCTTTATATTAACACAAATAAAAGAAGAAAGTAATTTATACTATATTACTATAAAAAGATAATAATAAAATATGAAAATTATTAAAATTTAGGGTGAATTAAACGTACCGTAATGAGTAGACATGTGGGCTCACAACAACTACAGAAAAGGTACGAAGTACGAAACGAATCTTAAGATTTATTGAAATGATTACCTAATAAGACTAAAAAGAAAATGAAATAATAAGAAACCATGACATTATTTCTTCTTTCTATCAAACTAAAAATAAAATAAAACAAAAGAAATGAAATGAGAAATGACTAATAGTCAAACTGTATCAGCTATTGTCAAATAGTTTATTAATAGTACTAAGATACTAACGCGCCTACCATTGTGGGTACTCGAGTGGATTTGATAACACGACTTATTATTTTGAGACTCAGATTGACACTCAAAACAACTGCACATCCTGCTGAAGTGACCAAACCCAGGATAACGATAACACGAGATAAGGCATATGTTGTCAGGTTTGTAAAGAAAACAAAGGATGTTCTAATCATAATACACGGTTTAGTTTTAGAGGCTACAGAGCTAGTTACCGTCTCTACCTGTCTCTAATGTAGACAAGTTAAGATCTCTACCTGTCTCTAATATGTAGACTATCAGGCGTTAAAAACTAATAGGATGAAAAAATTGACAAAAAAGTTCTCTAGATGAAAGAATTTGGAAGGCCGTGGTAACTCCTGGCTCCGATTTAAAAAAAAATTATGAAGGGCAATTAGATAAGTTGTCAATCAATCAAAAGGGTTATGAACCCTTATGATTATGGAAGAAGATGATAAAAGCTCCCAATCACTATTTTTGTAAAATCAGCTGACATGATGTCATACCACACAAACAGATACTCAAATGTACGTGATGATAAACATTGTTTACAATTTGGTTACATATTCATTGCTAACTTTATTAACTGCTGTATTTTCTAAAAACAAATTGCCATGACAGTGAACTCCTGATAGTCTGATAGCAGGCAAGAAGTGTGTCGTCATTGTTTTGACAAAATAAACGCATTGAACCCTGAATCAATGCCTGATCATTGGGAGTTAATATAAGCAAAAGCTTATCTGGACTTTGAGTGTGATGTAACCTGTAGTATTGCAGATTCCTATTATTATGGTAGGTTAGGTTTAGGATATTCATATTGTAGTAATCTCTAAACAGAGATCGAGATATTTCTATTAAGTCTATAATACAACTAGCAACAATAAGAGAGGGGGATAAGCATTAACTAACATCAAGATTAATGCAATATTGTGAGAAACCCTAGAATAGAGCAATCGTCTTCAGAAGCTGGTAGGCGAAAAAGGCAAAACAATAACAGCGTGGACTAGTGATGAACGCTTTTATTAAAAACAATATCAATTGCAATCCCTTAAACTGCAGCGAATTAAAGGTGGATTTTAAACTTCTCTCAAGTTCGTCTGTTTGTCAGAAAATAGCGCAAGAGCAGCTCAGTGTATTTCAATGATACTTTCACCGAGACAGCTTAGCGCCAGCTTAAAACTTGCGCTCTTCTTATCCCGTCCGGCTCCCGCGGGACGCTAACTAGGTCGCAGCAGCCTACAGCCGCTAAATGGAATTATTCAAATAATTCAGCAGCTATCAAACTCCTGTCTGGTGTTCGCCCGACGGAAAAATTCAACAACTACGAAATAATTTATGGTGCCATCGCCTGAAGAACGCGCCTATTGGTGGATATCGTTTAATAGGAACAACGCCTACGATAGCTTTGGGAGGCGTGTCTCACTCTAAAATGTAAATGTAAATCATCTCAATAATGTAGCTTGCACATTGACACTTGCCTAGAAAACCCTACTTACTACACTGACAATCAAATTATATAAAGATCTTTTTGTCTCTGAACCAAAAATAAGAATTCCAGTTCCGAAATTCAAGTATCAATGTTAGATCATGAAGAAGTTTTTGCTAAGAAAGGAAATGGTTTGGCAATAAAGATCTCGAATACCTACATTTCACAATAGAATAACTGTTGAAGCGGAGAGAGCCATGAAAAATATGTGCCTACATAATGTATAAAGAATCAAAATAATTTTAATTGGTAACGCACGCTAGCACACGAAGACAAAGACAATTTCTGACAATGTTTTCTATCGAGTACATGGTGAGACATTACGTTCATATAAAGATTATTTAACATGGAAATATCTAATGTAATGTAACATCAAAAGATTTAAATCAGGCTGTAGCTGACAAGCAGTTCATTGGCACTCAACAGCCCGGGGCAGGGAGCCGGTAGGTACCGAGCGCGGGGCAGCTAGCGTAGGCCTATTTTAACGGTCTCTGTTTTTTATTTCGTCCCGACCAAGCCAGAAATTTGACATTTGAACTGTTAACGAACACCGATAGCAATCGTTGAATTTTTTTGTTTATGTCAGTCGGATGGGCCAAGTTTGACTTTTCATAAAGTGTGAGCTCTAGGAGTAAAACTAGGATTTTAAACTCGCAATCAAGTTACACACGCTTGAAATTGTAACCCAATTTCCAGTAGTCAAAAGAAGCTAGTACTAGAAGGTTGATAGCAGGAAATAATATTATTAGTAGGTATAAAAGAACCAGATAAACCAAGCGATGAAGCAACGAATCAAACGACCAAATAAACGAACAAAGTAACGAAGTTTTCGTTCTTACCGAAAGAAAATAAAGTTAAATTGAAAAAGACGGTGAAAAACTTAGCAGCTGCTTCAGCAAATTGTAAAAAGGCAGTTCAGAAAATAAACTATTTCTAATTACAACGACCGGTTCGACCTAATACAACAGAGGACAGGTAGGAAATTGATTAATGTGTTTAAAGCCCAGCTTCGGAGGACCGGCCCTAACTAGACTAAAGGGCGAACTCGGGAAGCTCGACGGTCCATTATTAAATTTACCAGTAACAGTTACCGAACAAGCTTGTAAAATAACCAAGACCCTCACTTCCGGCAAAAACTCCCGTAGTTTTATAAGTTCATTATTTTATTACGCTTTGACAAGCGAAAAAATATAACCCTCGCTTCATAGCCACGTAGGCATAACACAGCTGTTTGTCGAGCTATTATTGATAAAAGGGACCCCCTTCCATTACAAAAACGACCCCCTGCCGGCAGCGGGGCGACATGTTTGACCCTCACAAAAGTCGCTACGTTACATGGTATTACAGCTGATCGGCACAACATCGATCGCACAAGGCACAGGACTAGTAGAATTAGGTAAATAGTGTAGTAGAGTTAGGCAGTTCAGTCGTAACCCACCTTACATCATTACAAAGGAATTCGAAAAATAATGAAGGAACTGCCCACTACAATGGATAGGCGTGTTCTCGCGACATTTGCAACGCAAATTGTCACTTCGCCCGAATTAAAACATTGGAATAGGTTCAATTAATTCATTCGACGTCCGATTACATCGATAATGCCCAAGGTCACCCGCCAAGGTCACCTCGGATGCGCTTCGATCACTGGAGCGGCTCCGGAGCGTGCACCGGCCACGTCCGAGCACGCGGCGCGGCACCACCCGGCAGGGCGCTAATAGGAACCTAATAATGGCAGGTACGGGATGAATCGCTTCCGAGCGGTCGTAATGGCGGAGGTGTTCCGTGTCGCAAGCGGAGCGGAGAGGTGTACTCACCGGAGCCGGCGCGCTCGGCCTCGTCGTCGGACTCGGTGCCGGAGTCGCGCTCCTCCACCTGCAACACACGGGAGCATGAGAGCGGTGGCGGCGGCGGTTCGGCTCCGCTCTTTGTTCTCGCGGCGGCCATTTTCTGGCGGCTGTGACCTTCGGCTCGCGGAGCCGGCTCGCGGCGACACCCACCTTCTCGGAAACGTTGTCTTCATTCAACGAATGCGTCCGCAGCTTGTGAGTCAGAAACTTGAGCATTATTGAGCGTCGGCTCGGCCGCTCGACCCGCTCGGCGCGGCGCGGGCCGCCTGGGGGCTGGGGCTATGGGGCCGCTTCCCGGCGCATCTTCCGCGAGCCGGCACGACCGCCTGCCTCGAGCGCCGGACTACTACTGGTTTGGTTACGAGTAGCCTTGCGTACGACGCAGTCAGCTGAAGTGCCGCCGCGCACGGATCCGAAACGGCGTAACTCCGAACGCGCCGAATTCTCCGTTTCCTCCGCGGGTTGTCGATCGGAACGACACACGATTCACGGCACGGACGCTCGCCGCGACTTCTGCGTCGATATTCCTTTCAAAATTCGCGTAAAACGTTCTCGAGAGGCACTCGAAACGGACTCGCCCGGCGACCCATTGATGACAAAGAACCGGAACACGCAGAGATCGGTCGCGATTGGACAAAACATTACAGAATAGGATCGAAATTTAATGCAACACGCTCCGTCTCGCTCGCACGCGCGCCGCGGGGGCTCGCCGCGCCGCCACTCGCGCAGCGCGAGCGGGACGGCGATAGCGACACAGGTTCTTATTATATAATATTGGGCTGATAATAAATCGCTGATAAAAAGTTGCGCATGTAAGGCTGGTGTGGATATGCCGATTGATTTGCGTACGCCGCACGGGAAAGGCTTTCTTTGTTCCTTTGTTTACGAGTCGGCGGAAGGGCCGGCTCCGCGACCGGTCCGGCACTGTGGATGATAGTCTGTACTTATTTGTAGTGGATCGTATCGTTATTATGATTACAAACTAAACAGAACTGGTTTTGATTATAAACAAAACTCAAGGTCACCCATACAAAACATACTCGCTCGCCTGATCTGTGTCGGGTGACTTTAGGGAAATGCTGGATATTAAAAATAAGATGTAATTTAAGGTTTTTAGGCATCTTTTTTCACTGCGGGCCGCCCGGCGCGTGCATTATTCAGGCCGGGCGCGCGTGTGTGCGTGCGGCGGCAAATTCGAATGACGCGGACAGGGAAGGGTTAAGAAATCATGGACCACAACTGATTTTATATTTCTTCATTGATGTATTTTTAACGAAAACTTAACATCGAGTTACAAACTTTTTACAGATTTATTTACAAACAAAACACTTAAAAGAGGCGTTTTATTTACAGCTAATTTGTATACGAGACTATAATTTTGACTACTAGGCCTAAATTATCACACTGTCGTACCGTATACACTACTTACTAAGACATTAATTTATAAATAAACTTTTAGGGACTGATATAAATACACAACACGTGCTTCCTAACATGAGATTATGGTTATCTGTTGCATTAGATAACGTTTAGGCATTATTTTAAAAATAAGCATGTCTTGATAAAGACAATAATCGTACGAGACCATCATAAGCTAAAAATAGAGTAAGTACACAATTTGGGATGTCATTATTGATTCAGCATAGAGAAACTATGAATATTATTATATGCAAACAACCTTTTTAACCTATTAGACTAAAATCTTGAGAATGTATTTAGTAAACTTTAAAGGAATTATAAAGGAATTTATTTAAACATTTAACTTTTAAATTATTCTTTGTTCGTTCACATGATATTAAGTATTATTAGTATTATAACTTTATCGGACTCGTTTTTTGCTTATTTAAAATATTAATAAACTCCTAAAATATTATTCGGCATCGCAAAAGATGACTTCCCTAGTCTCCTGCCCAACGGCAAGTATAAAACAACAATATATTTACTGATAAAGTAATAAACTTAAGAATATTAACACCCATTAAGATTCTTTCATAAAGTAAAGCATAATTAACAACGCCTGTTATCGTATTATGACGGATTTGTAGCCTCAATACTAACGCTTTTACTTATCAAATGTTGTTTTTTAAACTTAAAACTAAATTCACTGGGTTCATTTTATTTGCAATAGGGTTTTTTTAGAAACGATAGTTTTAGTTCTATTTCATTAGAAAACTTATGTTAACAAATTGAACGTGTCTAGGTACTTATATAAAAACGATGCTCATAATTTGTAAGGCATATTTACACAACTTTATGTTTCACTTACTGCTACATTATTTACAATAAACATTTATTCGTCTCAACAAATCAGGTAACAACACGGAGGGTCCTTATCGCTAGTTTGACACAAGCTGTCGCCATCTTATCGACTAGGCACTAACATTAAATCTAGACAGATTGTAATTAACGTGTGTTACGTATTTTAAGAACTAAGAAGAAGCTGCCTCGCTTAAAACGAAGGAACGAACATTTACCCCCTTACAACTTAAAATTGAAAACAAATCAAATTATTTATTTACTCAAGGGCATTAATATCGTTGTTATGTTATAACCGATGAATATTTTGACACTATTTAACAAGACTTGCTATGTTAAAAAGAGGCGTAACTCTTATTATTTGGTCCTTTATTGTTTTGTTTAAGGGGGCTAGAATACGCATAGAATAGGTAAATGTAGTTGGACGTAATATTGTAAATGCAATTTTTACGTATTTTGTTACCTTATTAAAAAGAGGATGGTCAATAAAACCTATGAGGTATCCGTTAAAACAAGATTATGTACAAAACATTTTCTCTGATGCATCATTGGGTCGCCGGGAGTCCAGTTATTGAGGAATAACTTTTTCTTTAATATTGTTTATACTGTTTTCTGTTTTGCAATAGAATTACTAATGAATTCCAATGCAGATAACTATAATGGGGATTAATTTAATACCCTGGTTAGATTCTTAACAGTTAGGGTTCCCATTAAACACTAAACGAGAACACAAATGCGTTACGTATTTTGATGTATAAATGCCATCAGTCATATAAAAAATGATGAAAGATACGTATTAATGGAGTATCATTACGTGATTTTGTCAAGAAATACTTTGAGAACCCGGCGGTATCGTCGTTAGTAATGTGTGTCGTTCGCCAATCGATAGATTTTTTTAAACCATTCACAAATAGGCTCACATTCTGAACGGACAAGGTATAACTTTTGGCCCGTGATTACACATTCAAATTCAATTCTTGATTGTAAATAATTCTAGAATTTCAATCACAGACCTCCCCTTTTCTCCGTAGTGAACGAAAGGAGACTTTAGAATTAGAAGTGGCATACTACAATTTTAACCATTATGATTGGAGGCTATATGCTACAATAGTCTGTGGTCTCCTATAAACGCAGTAGGCTGCGTACAGCGTCACATCATGACATGCACTGTTGTGGTATCTTTCAGACGTTGACGTCGGCGTATGACGTCGGTAGGAACGTTTGACGCTGACGTCATACGCCGCGTATAGCGTTTAATAGGAGACCGTCACCTTATTTCACTAAGGAGAAAATGAGATACATTGATTTACATAAATTGATTACATGCGAATCACCATCATTGACATATCATTATTACCAATACAAATCAACTTAATATTATTTAAACTAACTACGCTACTTATAAATGGCTTCAAATCGGTCGCAGTTCACGTTACAATTTCGATAATTTTGAACTCATTTGAAGCCACTTATTTAATCTACTATCTAACTATACCAGTTATCTCATATTTTAGATATTTCAACATAGAACAATTCCTTCACCACACTACGGTAAGGTTTATTCACATAGCTACTTGACGTGCAATATTTGTATGAGACTCCTTCAAATCTCGCAGTTTGGGCACGTTTTACTTTTATAGATATCTGAATACACCTTACATACAAATGTCGCACAGTTTGCGCTCGTTACGTATTAATCTCAATACGTATATATTATTTTTTTCTACTGCAGTGGCCAGTGCTGATAAAGCCCGGTCTGTGAGCACGTAGAATTTCGTCCAATGACCCCAAGCTACCCATCCTTATCGCTCGCGCGTAATTATATTGCTGTCGCGACTGTGCGACGGGCGCCCGCAGTGAGTGTGCAAGCGCGATAGCAACATAATTACGCGCGAGCGATAAGGATGGGTAGCTATGGTCATTGGACAAAATTCTACGTGCTCACAGACCAGACTATAGTAGTGAAATACTACTACATGATAACTAAATGATACACTATCTGTGAGATCTGTCTACCACAGTAAGAGTAAGTATGTTCTAGCGTCATTTCCGTAGTATATTCTAAGGCTGAATTGCATCATCTTACTTTAACTTTGACAAACGTCAAAAATCTGTCAAACTCCATACAAAAAGCACCGGTTATTGTGATTGTTACGGTTAAAATAAGGTGGTGCAACTCAGCCTAAATATAGGGTATATTACACGGAAACAAGTTAACATTCGTCTCTAGAATCAGCATTGGCCACACTGCACCCTCCACGTAACCAACCAATACATCCGAACTAGGCACAGCGCGTCAGTCACGCTATTCATTAAGGTATGACTTCGTAGCCGATTCCAGGCAGCAGCAGTAGACGAAGTGTTGCTTCACTTGTTCTCAGAGTACGAATAACTCTAGTAATTGTGTTCTTAATAAAACCGTAGGCGGCGTTATTTTGTCTCTAAAGAGAACCATTTATTCATGTTTCAGGTACGGGTAACGATTTATTCATTAGTGATATGACGTCTGATTCTGAAGGTATTTTATAGAGATAAAAACCAGTATTTGAAACACGAATAAATATCGTTCTTCGTATTTGATGACCAGTGTATCCCGGCGACAAGTCGTCTGCTGCTGCTGCATGGAGTCGACTACAAACTTGTACCTTAAAGGTTAGCATGACGTGCAGTGTATTCCCATTATCCCCTAACATTTGTTCCTCAATGGCAGACATCGGGGAAAAAATTGTCCAACGATACAAAATTTCCTAATGTTCATCAGTGGGGGACAAAGGGAATACACGTGACGTGCCGCCGCATGACTAGGTAGGATCCAACCGCACTCACGTCGCTATAAGATGACCAGCTCCTGCATGAGGCAATCCCTGTGCGTGCGCATAGTCCACGAAGTCTACCGTAGCGAGTCCATGTGCGGCGTGTGCGCAGGCTCTTAGGATGGGAGGAGTTCATAATACGTAGCGGTGGAAATGGACGGTCTCGCGAGGACTTCCAAACTGTAAAGGAGAAAATGAATTTTGAAATATAAAAGCGGCTCTTGGCTTGCATCTAGGGTTGCCAAAGGTAGGTCCAAAATGCAAAAGCCGGACTCTGTGCTTCATTTGGCCGGACATTTTACCCTTAAAGCCGGACATGCGAGGGGGGGGGGGGTGCAATTAGTGAGTACTATCATCATAGGTTGCCTAACGTCCTGATGCGTGCGTGCCTTATTCTGTGGCTCGACTTTCGCCTGGCGCGCCAGCCATATAAAAAGCCTAACAAAAGCCGGACAGGCCGGACACGCAATCAAAAAGCCTAACTATGTCCGGCTTTATCCGGACGCCTGGCAACCCTACTGTAACTGTAATAAATCTATATGTCACCGTAATATTGTGAATTCCGTCAGATTATAATCTGACGTAGTTAAATTACAATCTAACCTAACCTAACCCACTGTTAGTTTACAATCTCACCCGTTATATTATAAACCGACGGAGTTCACAACTTCGCGTTGACATGTACAAATATTATAAAGCTAAAGAGTTTGTTTGTTTGTTTACTTGAATGCGCTAATCTCCGGAACTACTGGTCCGATTTGAAAAATTCTTTCAGTGTTAGATAGCTCATTTATCGAGGAAGGCTATAGGTTATACAACATCACGCTACGATCAATAGGACAATGAAAAATGTTGCGAAAACGGGTTTTCACGCGTACGAAGTCACGGGCACAGCTAGTAAATAAATAAACTGACAGTGGAAGCGAATTTTATGCCTGAATACATCACCACTTTTTATCCTCCTCGTGAACTACCTTTTGGTTGGCCGATACCAAAATGATGTAATGTGCATACTTCCATTACTGATTAACAGCTCAATCCAACTATTGGCCGATTGGCAGTCTGTAGTCTGCGGGGTCACGTCAATTTTACGTGCCGTCACGGGAATAAGCTTAATTCAACTTATTTAAGCTTTAAGGCGAACTTAGTACGCAGAACTGAACGGTCGATGGGGCAGCAAAGGTTCTGGAGTGGAGACCACGTACCGGAAAGCGCAGCATAAGACGTCCAGCCACAAGGTGGAACTCATAAAGATAGCAGGAAGGCGCTGGATGCACGTTGCTATCAACCAGTCATTATGGAAATCATTGAATTTTCACAAATTATTAATACTCCCGTTAGCCCCTCGTGGTAAACTAAATATTATGCTTGTGTTATGAGTGGGCTCACCACAATAGTCGAGTAGCGTTGGGATTCAAACCCGCGTTCCACGGATCTCGAGTCGGCCAGTCCGACCCATTCACCGTTTGGCTATCGTGGCAGCAGTGGACGTTCTATGGCTGAAATAACGATGAAGGCAACTTACAGGGTTATAAGATGAGCGGCTCCTGTAAGAGACTCCGTTCTGTGGCTGAAATGATGATGATGAAGGCAACTTACAGTGTTATAACATGGAACAGCTCCTGCGTGAGATAATTCGTCCTGTGGCTGAAATGATGATGATGAAGTCAACATCCGCCCTGTGGCTGAAATGATGAAGTCAACATCCAACCTGTGGCTGAAATGATGAAGTCAACATCCGCCCTGTGGCTGAAATGATGAAGTCAACATCCGTCCTGTGGCTGAAATGATGAAGTCAACATCCGTCCTGTGGCTGAAATGATGAAGTCAACATCCGCCCTGTGGCTGAAATGATGAAGTCAACATCCGCCCTGTGGCTGAAATGATGAAGTCAACATCCGCCCTGTGGCTGAAATGATGAAGTCAACATCCGTCCTGTGGCTGAAATGATGAAGTCAACATCCGTCCTGTGGCTGAAATGATGAAGTCAACATCCGCCCTGTGGCTGAAATGATGAAGTCAACATCCGTCCTGTGGCTGAAATGATGAAGTCAACATCCGTCCTGTGGCTGAAATGATGAAGTCAACATCCGCCCTGTGGCTGAAATGATGAAGTCAACATCCGCCCTGTGGCTGAAATGATGAAGTCAACATCCGTCCTGTGGCTGAAATAATAATGAAGGAAAACTTACAGGGTTATAAGATGAGCGGCTCCTGCAAGAGAGAATCCGTCCTGTGGCTGAAATGATGATGATGAAGTCAACATCCGTCCTGTGGCTGAAATAATAATGAAGGCAAACTTACAGTGCAGCAGTAGTATAACATAAGTGGCTCCTGTATTTGATAATCCGTCCTGTGGCTGAAATGATGATGATGAAGTTAACATCCGGTCCTGTGGCTGAAATAATAATGAAGGCAAACTTACATTGTTATAAGATGAGCAGCTCCTCCATAAGATAGTCCGGGTGTGCCCGCGCGTAGTCCACGAAGTCTATCGTAGCTCGCGCGAGTGAGTCCACCATATGCGGCGTGTGCGCAGGCTCTTGGGATGGAAGTAGGTCGTGTAGTAGGGTCGCAGCGTGCCGCGGTAGGACGTAGCGACGGAAGGGCACCGTGTAGGGCAGGGCTTCGGTCTCCAGGCCTTCCAGGCTGGAAGGAAGAAAATTAGGATCGTAAGTATTCATGACATGTTCAATGTTTGCGAATAATTTATGTTGAGTGAATAAAACTTATGTTAGTACATCTAAAATAGGCATGACCCTAATTTACTAACTGGTATGTGCATAAGACTCACTGCCTAGAATACCTTTAATTACATATTATTATCTTGTAAATGGAATTTTCTACAATAAACAAAACGCTGACAAAGGTGTTAGAATTTTTTTCTTTCAATTTATTTCTAACACCAGTCAAGATGTTGAGGACAAGCTATATTGATGCGACAAGGGCACCTTCAAAAGGCGTGAGAAAACGTTGCAGCGGCGCCGCTACTAGTTTTAAATAATTTCTACAAGCGCAACGCACGTCACATTGTTTATAGTAGTGGCGCTGCTACTATGCTTCCAACGTAACAGGACTCAACTCTCACGGGATAATTACGTCTGAGGCACACCCTGAAAACTGACGTTTTGACTTAACCATATTGCCCTACTGCCGTAGAAACATACTTTAGTCTCTCTGACGTAACGTAACCACAGAGTCCCACTGCAAAAACATATTTACGCACTATGCCTGCTGTAACAAAGAGCTTAAACTTGTATCAACTCACGTGGCCAGGTAGTACTTCTTGTAGGGCACAGTTCCAGGTGCGGTGGTCTCTGCCAATGCTCGTAGCGCGAACTGCAGCAGCCAATCGCCCGCCGCCGGCTCGCGGTATACAGCGCGGCTGGATAGGAGAGGCTGTTCCACTGCGGACGGATACAATGAAGAATTAGTAATATGACGTGTAGGTCGCTCAAGGAAAGTTGGTACTCGAATAAATACCCTCGCTCTTTTTAAATATCTGTAAACGAGACAGAAAGCATTTGTCAGTCCGACTATGAAAGACGTCAGTACAGATAGATAGTATGCAGATACAAACTTTGCTTGTGTTGACGGCCTCAACTCTCGTTGCGCAAGTTATAAGAATTGCTGTGTAAAATAACAAATCAAGGAAAGAAAGACGCATTGACAAGACGTAAAAAGGACATCAAAAATATCAGGTAAGTATTTATTTATACCTTTCGGTGTACCTACAACATCACCCAACCAACTATTTGGGATCTCTGTCATCGATGTCTACACCAGCACTATCCTAAAAGCGGACTGTGCTTTGACGTCACTAATATACACTGAACAATGCTCAGTGAGAAGTAGAAAAAAGTCGTCAACAATCATTCGAGTATTTACATTTTGAAACTCCTGACTCAGTAACAATACGTGGGCCACGGTAATAATATCATACAGTATTGTAACTTCATATAAACCGACGAAACGCGAGCTTTCCTTCGAATTTCAAATCTCGGGAAGCGGTCGAAATCCAAAAGTTAGGGGTGTCGCGAATGTGCCGAACGGACGTCGATGGCCTAGTGTTGAAAATGACTAAGATGATTGAATTTGACTGACCGTCATTTACGATCTTTGTCAAAAACTAGTCATTAACTGTCAGAAATTGTCAATTTCAGTCAGTTTGATTTGAAATGAAAATTATAATATTGTATAAAACCAGCTTTTGCCAACGATTTCGCCCGCCTGAAATTAAAGTAACAGGTCATTAAGTACTCATTATTCAAGTATATTTTTTTAAATTAAATCTACTAATCACAAAACAACACGCATTTTTATCCTATTCCATTCACAAAGTATTTTGTTTGTCTAAATAACAAAAAATTAAAATCACAAAACTAGATAGAAATTCTAAGTAGACAGATGTAATTTTATTAGAATGGGTACTGTAGGTAAGCAGCCCTATCGCATGTTGTCATACCGTGACGTACCGCGGGGCTGTTGACATTTTTTTCAAAAATATAGCCGAGTTGGAATACTGTATAGATAGTATTACCGTGCGTGGGCTATGTAAGTATGTAGGCCCTACATTGTAGAGCTTGCAGTGCCAGGGTCTAGTTTGACTAGTTTTAGCTTCTGACTGCGCCATACGCTGCGCACTCATCAGCTGCCAGACAAAGTCACATACGCAGAGCAGTTGCCTACAGCATTAACCATTTAACTACTCACACCTAAGCACTCCTGTGTGCATGACGTCGTCGTGCCGGCGTCTGTAGCAGTACTACCTTCGTTATGGGCTGCGTCATGACACCGCGCAGCTATTGGTCACCATCAAAAACTATACAAAAGAGCAGTAAGAAGGTTGCACCTACGGGATCAACTATTTATGTACTTACACTTAGGCACTCCTGATTCCATGACAATGCGCGGAGTATGCAGCGCTTGCAGCGCTGGTGTCTGAAGCAGCACTACCCTCGCTGTGGGCTGCGCTGTGCCATAACATATCTCAGCCAGTGCGCACCGCAACTGACCACCAGCACTACCTATAATATGCAGCAATCCATAGAAGAGCACGACTATAGTTCAATGACCTCAGTACTTACATTCAGGCACTCTGGGGTGCCCATCACTCTATGCTATGCTCCATCACAATAAGGGGCTTTCAGCGCTGGTATCTGTATCATACTACTCTCGGAGTGGGTTGCGCCATGACACCTCTGAGTCAGTGTCAGCTACCTATATGCAGCAACCCATAGAAGAGCACGTCTATGGGTCATTGAAGACGCCGGTACTTACACTTAGGCACCCCTGACTCCACCACAATAAGCGGCTTGCAGCGCCGGCATCTGTAGCAGTACTACTCTCGGAGTGGGTTGCGCCATGACACCTCTGAGTCAGTGTCAGCTACCTATATGCAGCAACCCATAGAAGAGCACGTCTATTCGGTCATTGAAGACCCCAGTACTTACACTTAGGCGCCCCTGACTCTAATGCGTGGCGTATTATGCAGCGCCGCGCCGGCGTCAGCAGTGCGTATTTCTCTCGCGTTCAGTGGGCGGCGCCATGACGTCACTCACTCACTACCCGCTAGTACTAGCATATTAAACTAAGCAGTAAAAAGATGAATCTATAGCATCAACCACTCACATTTAGGCACTCCCGACTCCATTACAATTCGCGGGGTATGCAGCGCTTGCAGCGCCGGCGTCTGCAGCAGTACTACTCTTGCAGTAGGTTGCGCCATAACGCCTCGCAGCCAATGGGGACCGCCGCTCGCCGCTAGTGCCAGTGTCTCAGCACTGCATATGTCGTATACCTGCAATTATACGGGATACGTGCTTATTTTATACATTCAAGGGCACCATCAGGCCTGTTCATCCCCGCGAGTTTACATCGAAAACAAAACAAGCACGATGGCACCCTACAGGATTACTATTCGACAAGGCCTCGCATACGAGCGAGCATTGACTCACGCACGCGTATTCTTGTGTATGATGAAAAAAAAAATGGTGTACTAAATACTGTACAGTATTTATCGCCTAAATAATAATAAAAACACAGAATGTACTTTTTTAAGTTGCCTGAAGACACTGAGAGGTAAATAAGTGGTTAATATTATTCATGATAATTCATGCTTAATCATGTAGGTATTTTCTCCGCCATTTTCTGCAGTTTGGCACCTCACGTCACACATCATTTTACCGAAGTTAGCCCTATGGCTTCGGCGCAGTGCCGATCACTGACGTTTGTCAACAAAATGGTTCTTGACTCTTGAGACAGGCTAAATTACACCATATTGTTAATGACATTGAGCATACATTTTTTTAAATACCTTCGTGTAGTAAACCTTCTGTACGTAGTACTTATTATTATCCTGTGGCACTATTCACAAATGATTCCGTAAAGTAAATCAAGAAAAAAAGGTGCCTGACTGACTGACTGACATAGTGATCTATCAACGCACAGCCCAAACCACTGGACGGATCGGGCTGAAATTTGACATGCAGGTAGATGTTATGACATAGGCATCCACTAAGAAAGGATTTTACGAAACTCCACCCCTAAGGAGGTAAAACGGGATCCACGCGTAAGAAGTCGCGGGCGGCCCCTAGCATGATATAAAAATTGAAAAAAATGGAGACGATACATTTTATAATCAGAAAAGTGAAATAATATTAAAATACTGAACTTAAAAATACAGAAAACGTAAGATCTACTTTTTACTTATATTGTAATATGTTGTATTTGTAACAGAAACTCGGTTAACCGATGTAGACAAATAAGGTTATCAATAAATTATTATCAGAATCACGAGAGAGTCATAATCACACACAATACGACACTTATTATGGTGCGTGACATCATTGATCAACATGACAATGCCAAGGCTGACGTACAAATTATTATTTAGGCGTCGAAATATAATAATACAATATCGTATGCTTGCGTGGGTGTTTGTTTTGAAACAATATAGCACAGTACGACGGCGTGAATCGGGATCAACTTGTAATCTTCATTCAGGAAAATTGTTACTAGATAATTATTATATTATTTTTGGGAAACATTTCCGTAACAAACATTGTTTATCAAATTAGGTAGTCTTTTAAAACAAGGAAGAAGGGAATTTAGTAAAAAAAATCAATATCGGTTATATTGGTTTTAGTTTCTCAATCAAATCAATATTATGTGAAGATGAAATGTTGGTGGCGCGATGCGTCCTTCGATCACAGAACTCATTTATTTATGTAAGTAGGCGTTTAAAAAGCACTTTTACATTTACAAGGATCCATGGTACTTTTCTGTCCCATTATTCTTCTTTTCAGCCAAATGACGTCCACTGCTGGACAAAGGCCTCCCCCAAGGTTTTCCACAATGAACGGTCCTGCGCAGCCCGCATCCAGGCTCTTCCCGCGACCTTTACCAGATCGTCGGTCCACCTAGTAGGAGGCCTGCCCATGCTACGTCTTCCAGCTCGTGGTCGCCACTCGAGAACTTTCCTGCCCCAACGGCCATCGTCTCTACGAGCTATGTGCCCCGCCCACTGCCACTTGATTTTAGCAGTTCTGCGAGCTATGTCGGTTACTTTGGTTCTCCTGCGGATCTCCTCATTTGATTCGATCACACAGGGAAACTGCGAGCATAGCTCAATTCCCATTATTAGCTTATTTTATTGAAAAGTTCTGAGTCGATTATCGCAGACTATATTGGTATATTGTTAATATCGCCACGAAGCAATATTGGTCACATACCTGTCCCGGGGCGACGGTCTCGAGCAGCGCACTCAGAGCGGCGACGACGGGCTCGGCGGCCGCGCACTCCCGCGCATACAGCAGAAGGATCGGGCCGGGCGCGGGCGACTCAGGCGCCGCTTGCTTGGTCTCCTCCCTGGAAACACAATTCTTAATTATGAAAAATCTAAAACGTTAAAATAACGGTATCGTTGTTTCCAATGAGATGCTGTCATAGTGACATTGACGTAATGTCAATAATCAAAACGGGAGAATAGAGGAACGCGCGGAGACGACTCCCCGCGCTTTTGATGATATATGATAAATTGTATTTTAAAATAAGGTAGTATAGTGTGAAAGTTGAGTATTCAGTGTTTTATTTATGAGAATAGATCTACCGGCCTCTAACACAATATATACACTATATTAGACAAAATAACGAGCGTTTTGGGTCATTTTTATTTATGCTGTATTTTTTAATTGAATGTGTCATTCTATGTAATATAACTGTACCAGACTGTACCTATTAATAAAAAAAATTCCATCCAGCCAGCTATTTTTTTTCACTTTTCAAGAGTTTATGAGCGTCATTTCGGACCCATAAAGCTTTTTACTAATTCCAAAATGCAGATTACTTTTTTAAACGCGGAGTAGTCAACACTAGTATCGATCATATTAGCTGTTTAAAAGTTTCGTGTGGCGATTTCCACTATCGCACTTTTAAGTCAATTTCAAAATAGTTTTTCTATAGATCACTTCTCTACTGTAGTACATTCAAATTTCAAACCAAAGCATTAAAAATTGTAGAAAAATAGGCATTAGTTTCGAGCGAGGTCGCGGGCGTAATTCGCAACGTTTGATTCTTCGCGGGCGTTGACGTTGCGAAACAACCATGTTTATGCATTAGCTAGGCCGGTGCCGGGATATGCGGGCATATTGGCAAAGGCCGAGGCGCTGTCCGAAAAGTATCCAACGTGTGTGCTTACCTTATGTTTACGTTAGGTTTGCTCGCTAGCGACTGCGTAAAAATATGACAATAAATTTATGACAAATTGTAGAGCGCCGCTAGCGGCTACTTTCAAGAACTAAAATCTTCATAGATTTTTGAAGCACTCGTTAAAGACCTAACGTAAACTCATGGTAAGCACACTGATACCTGGTGATAGATCTCCGCCTGCATTTAATCTATCTAAGTTAAATTTATAAATCAGGCATGATTATTTTTACACATTGTAGTATTAATACCAAGTCTTACAGCATTGTGTACACTGTACAGCATTTAGAAGTACATATTTTAATTTACATAACTTTTAACTTCAATCAATATAAAGTCCTTGATTATCCTTTTTGACCTTGAACAGTAGACATACAGAATTCTCATAATAAAAGGTAATGTTATTTATTTTAATTACACAGGTTTATACCTTATTACGTAATTAAATACTTTATACTTTATTGTGGCAAAAGATTCAAATTATTCGAGTAGGTCGTGGTCGTATACTTTTCGGACAAACATGTTACCTCCATTAGTCTATGCCGTGACGTGCGCCTCTCGATAAATCGACAAATTATGCGCGCGCGCAGAAACTTGTATAAACGTTACAATAAACAAAAGGCTAGACCTTCAATGATAACAAATGTGTGTAAATAGGCAAAATACGTAAATTGATTTTAAGCACATCGGTCGGGAATTCCCTGTGATAACTTAATACTATTAAAACTACGCTTATCAATTTTCCCTAAATTTTGTTTTTGAATAATATTAATTTAATATCACTATACAGGAGCTGAAACATAATTAGTGAATTCAAAACATGTTTTAGGTAAACCATTGATTTCCTTAAATTCGTGTATTATCACGAATTCGACGGAAAGCGTAGTTATTCATATTTGCTCAACTCATAACTAAGCTATGAAAGTTGCTACGGCACGAATCAACATAAAATATTGTATGGATGGTAAACACTTATTGTGGTAGAGTAGGTGCATTTTTTTAGGAAAATGTAGGTAGTCTGTCTGCTATGCTGTTGACTGTACTTGACGGAAATGAATTTATAACGTTTGGCTTACATACAGAATCAATAAGTAATTAACATATTTAACGGTTAAAACTAATGATTATTCAGTAAAAACATCTGCACTGTTTAATGCAAATCTTCGATTGCATACTAAGTGCACCCGCATTCAATTTGTGGTAAATGGCAGTAAGTGAACAATTAACATTATTAGTGGAAAATTTGGAGCTGTATAAATAAACAGCATTCAATTAGTTGGGCCGTGCTAAAACAGTAGTCAAACAAAATTTGTAAAGATTTCGTGACGTACAGTCAGCGTTACAAATTACAAAATACTAAGTGACACTTAGGCTGAGTTGAACTAAACGTCAACAATCTGTAAAACTCTATACAAAAAACACCGGTTATTGTTAAAGTTACGGTTAAAGCAAGTTGGTGTAACTCAGCCTAAAAGTGGCCAAAAAGTTGACAACACAGCCATACTTCAATTTGTAACGTGTTGCGAACTTTTTGGCTACTTTGAGTGTCACCAGGCCTGTTCATCTCCGCGAGTTTACATCGAAAACAAAACACGCACGATGGCCCACCTACAGGATACTATTCGACAAGGCCTCACATACGAGCGAACATTGACTCACGCACGCGTATTCTTGTGTATGATGGAAGAAAATAAAGAAAATGGTGTACTAAATACTGTGCAGTATTTAACTGCCTAAATAATAATAAAAACACAGAATGTACTTTTTTAAGTTGCCTCAAGACACTGAGAGGTAAATAAGTAGTTAATATTATTCATGATAATTCATGCTAAATCATGTATTTCCTCCGCCATTTTCCGCAGTTTGGCACCTCACGTCACATCATTTTACCGAAGTCAGCCCTATAGCTTCGGTGCAGTGCCGATCACTGACGTTTGTCAACAAAATGGTGCTTGACTCTTGAGACACGCTAAATTACACCATAATATTGTTAATGACATTGAGCATACATTTTTTTAAATACCTTCGCGAAGTAAAACTTACGTACGTAGTACTTATTATTATTCTGTGGTGTCACTAACTATTTGACGCTGACTGTACAATCTCACCTAACCCAGCCTAAAACATCGATGCTAATCGGGACCGGTCACTGCGGTTACAGGAAAACTAACGCTCAGTGTAAATTACACGGGACTGAAATCCATTTCCTATTTATCCTTATTTTTGTCGACTAAGACAAAAATTAACACTAAGTATATCAGGGACAACAAGTTTTCTATTATATCGGCTGATAACTGCTATCTACAACTTTAGATATGGGGAGACATAAAAGATGTCATGTAAATTTCAGATTCAACAAGCTAGTACAACCACAGAATAATAATAAGTACTACGTACAGAAGTTTTACTTTGCGAAGGTATTTAAAAAAATGTATGCTCAATGTCATTAACAATATGGTGTAATTTAGCCTGTCTCAAGAGTCAAGCACCATTTTGTTGACAAACGTCAGTGATCGGCACTGCGCCGAAGCTATAGGGCTGACTTCGGTAAAATGATGTGACGTGAGGTGCCAAACTGCGGAAAATGGCGGAGGAAATACATGATTTAGCATGAATTATCATGAATAATATTAACTACTTATTTACCTCTCAGTGTCTTGAGGCAACTTAAAAAAGTACATTCTGTGTTTTTATTATTATTTAGGCAGTTAAATACTGCACAGTATTTAGTACACCATTTTCTTTATTTCCTTCCATCATACACAAAAATACGCGTGCGTGAGTCAATGTTCGCTCGTATGTGAGGCCTTGTCGAATAGTATCCTGTAGGTGGGCTAACGTGCGTGTTTTGTTTTCGATGTATACTCGCGGAAATGAACAGGCCTGGTACAACTAGCAAGAAACATTTGAAATTCGCGTACATCAGATATTAGAAACGAGTTTAAGTTATTCTAACGACCTTTACAAGTCAAAGGCGCAAAAAGCAACAGCTATATTTGCGGGTTTGTAGGCGTATATGTATATAGTACTATGTGGGACTCTGTGGGAGCTATTCAGCTAGCTATTCGTATGCATACATTTAACAAACAAGTTCTCAGTCCCGCTAAGTTTTTACGAGTTTTAATAATATTTTTATTATAGCAGATTTGGAAAATGGTATTATGATTCTTATTCTAGAAATTGACACCTCTTATGGATTGTAGAACTACATTCAGATTTTCAATACTTTTATATTACATTAATCTGAATATTATTTTATCAGGATCATAATATGACAATATTATTGCAATGTCATTTGACTGTGAGAATAAGAAATTGCAAGCATTAGTTTTTCACGTATCGTGAAATATTTATTTTATTTATTTTTATTTATTTATTGCACATAATGAATACACTGTATATTGTTAGGTACTAGGTACTAACATACAAATGCACACCCGGTTGTATGTCATTAGTCAATATGTCATTAGAGTGCACATAATTATGTTAAGGACCATTAAATCGCCCCTGACTGACTACTTAAGATAATTATATTCTAAAGAGGTAACACTCTGAAGGAAATTGCGTGTTATTTGTCATCGGTGCATTATCTTAAGCCCATTATTTGCGACTTGAGATGTTTTCCACGTGCTTGAGGAAAGTCGATCGACTTCGCGTTGTTATTATTTCCATTGGAAGGAAACAGCGAACCAATTTACTAATTTTAGGGATTTATTTTGTAATTTACTGGGTAGGTATGCTGTTAAATTAATTTAAATTTTCCTCTTAAATTATTGTTTTGCCAAAGGAAGTTAAATAACAAAATTTTCATCATGGTTCAATCTTCTACAATCGGCAGCACACCAGAATATTTTTTTTTTGCTGCAAAATAACATTTATTATCATACGAGTAAGATGCCACAGTGTTTAGGCTGATGATGTGCTGTCGCCTGTACAACACTTCACGAAGATAGGTACTTGTTTCGTGTACCGAATGTCCCAAGGTGAAGTCTGTTGATTTTGTGACTTGTTTGAAGAAAATATACACGTGTAATATAACATACATATCCCAAACATGTTTTTGTTCAGAATTCAAATTAACTTCTTTTAGGCAAATAAAAGTTTATGGGAGTGGGCACAATAACCTGTTTCTGCGACTCGTGTTCGTTGGCGGCTTTGAATCTGCTGGTTATTAAAAATTTTAATAACTTTTTGGGAAGACTAAGCTTGCGTTGCATTATCTTTCTTTAAATATAACAGACGTCAAAAATCTGACAGACTCCATACAAAAATGCCGGTTCAAGTTATAGTTACGGTTAAAGAAAAAACTGTTCAAACAAAAAGAAAAAAGTGTGTCTATGTATTTAATTTACACTTGCTTAAGCAAGAGGGGCTCCCTAAGCTGCAATCCTACTATGTTTACAACAATGACAGTGATAAAGCATTCATAAAGTTCAGTTATCTCGTTTGCTATACTGACGCATGCGTGTTCATGCCAATATCATTATCGCGTGACGCGCGCGCGAGATTATTCGCTACTTCATAAAATGCAATGGGGGTCAAAACTGAATAGATTACGATAATATTTTTGCAAAACAAGCAGTATGTTCAGAATCCAGACTTTTTTAGCTTCAGTTAAATTACGATTGAATGTTGAAACGATATGTAATGTCAATTTTATACGTAAATTGAAGGAGAACTAGGCTAGAAATATAAAGTCGCTCAGAATATGATTTTATCATCACTTCTTTTGTCACAGAAACTCATGAAGTCTTTATATTCATTAGTTGGCTGCCGTGGGTTGACGTTGAGGTCTATTTCTAGCCGCGAGGACATCATCGTTACGATCGATAATATCTTTTTAATGCAATGCTCCATTAAGTGCGGTCTATTAAAATACTAATGTAAATGTAAATAATATGCTAGTCACCTGACCATAATATTAGATATAGGTAGATTGTATGTAAACTTGCCGCGATGGCCGGCGCTAGAAAACCGGTCGCCAAACATGTATGTGTAACACATAACAAGGTATTCATACATACGGTTAGGTTATTTAAATGCCTGTTGGGTTTGCAAATCAGTAATGCGCTGTTGATAGTGGAATGATGTTAGTACTTGTTTACATTGGGTACTTCCTACTTTACGCGTTTCTTGCTTTCTAGATTCGTGTTTGCAAATTTTAAACATTGAGGTTATCATGTACACAGAAAAAGTGGCATTAAAATAGACGTATCGGATTAGACTCAAGCATGGATTTAATAAGAAAAGTTCATGCTTAAGCAGCAATTCTAAATAAAAATTTCAATTCAGAAATCGGGGGTCTCACGCTTTCTAAACATGCTTAGTGAAAGATTTCAACACTGACACGTGTTGTAAATGAATAACATACCTAGATAAATATTGATTGTAACGCCTTTGTCTAGTTTATGATAAAACATTATATTTAGGATTAATAATTATTTGTTCCTTTCTACTATTGAGGTTTGAATGAAATAACCTCATAAACATAAGGCTAACATAAACATGTTTAAATCCCACGACAAACATAACTGATAGTAGCAATGAACCCGCGAACGTATGTGTACAGTGAGCGTCAAAAAATAGTACTAGGGCATCAAATTCGCGAAACATTAAAAACATTCATCTTCATCGATCTTAATTGAGAAAGAAAAATATAGCAGAAAATATGCTCGGTTTGCTGTTCCATACGCTTCAAGTTTATTATTGTCCACCAGAGGACTGTGCCATGGGCTATAATAATAATCATCATCATCATTTCAGCCATAGGACGTTCACTGCTGAACGTATGCCGGATGGCGGCGGCCTGCATCCAGCGCTTTCCTGCTACCTTTATGAGGTCGTCGGTCCACCTTGTGGGCTACAATGATGCGCAAAAAGGGCTATATTTAACCGGGACACCATGGCGGCGCAACCAGTCGCCGCTACCAACAAAATGTATACAGCTCTATAGAGAGTTACTCACTGTCCGTTTGGTTGCGCAAAGTTGTATATGTTACGGCTAAAGATAGATGTGAACATAAACTTAAGATTAGCCGGCTAAACTTAAGTTTATCTTCGACGAGGTGTTAATGTTAGTTTCTTCTATCTTTAGCCGGCTAAACTTAAGTGTAACCGCAGGCCCTTGGCTAAAAATGTAGAAGGAAATGGAAAAGGAAACAATGTAATAATGTTTACTATTTTGACACGAAAAATTTATTAAAAAATAATCACTTTCATTACACATACTTTTATGTAGGTACCTATGTAGGTATTCAAAATTACAATTATTACAATAACAAAATCTTAATTACATAAAACAATATCTAGGTACCTAATCATTAAAATAAAGTAATAAGGAACCATTTGGTCATTACAGAATCTTCTGTAGGTAGGTATTTAAAATTACAAAATAAAACAAAATAAAACTTCTTCAGTGTTAATTACTTAAAACAATGTCTAGTCACAATTGTTAAATAATATGGAGCTAATCGTTGTCTCCCCACCGCCCCCTCAAGCCCTCCGCCGGCCTGGCGCGCCCATCGAATACATTTTTAGCCGTATCGTTTTGGCTAATGTGCACATTAGCCGGCTAAAGATGGAATATCATGACGCAAACTAACATGTTATCGAACTTTAGCTGCTTCTCGAAGCTAAACTTAAGTTTAGCCGGCTAATCTTAAGTTTATTTTCACACCTATCTTTAGCCGTAACATATACATTTTGTTGGTAGCGGCGACTGGTTCTGCCGCCATGGTGTCCCGATGATTTATAGCCCTAATTCTTAGCTCTGCGACTGTACCCACGAAGTGACATGTGCGCGATCGTTATCTCAATATTGAGACACGTTTAATTCAGCGTACGTTCATAGACGTAAACATGCGCGAGATAAGAAACATCACAACAATGAACTTTGGTATTCCCGTGCGTAAGATTTTCAGGCGCCATACTTATCATTCAGACGTATGTGTAAGAAGAATAGATAATTTCGATGATTGTCTACAAGTTGTTGGTCGGACAAAGAAGTTTGGGAAAGTGTGACGTAACATTTGGAATAACATAATAGTTCATGAATACTTTTTTACAGCCAGTCTTTTTACATGTTTTCTATTAGCATATTATTACGTATTAGAGTCGTAGGAAACATAGACAAGCGCAACACTCAACTCAAGCGTTCCGCCGTAAGTCGGTTAATATGCCGCAAAGCAAGTAGGGCCAGTATTCCTATGACACTTTCTTTTATCTATATTTTTTTTAACCGCCTCTGTGGTCTAGTGGTAAGACCACCTGCTTCAGACGCAGAGGTCCCGGGTTCGATTCCCAGTGGGGGCAGATTTTTCTGTTCGGTTTGGTTGGTGGTAGGGCTTGTTCTAAGTCCGCCTGGCTAGCTACCACCATCTTACCTAAGTCTGTCGCCATAACAACAATGTTCACAGCATTATTGTGTTCCGGCAGTTAGAGGTAAGATAGCCAGTTCCTCCGTGGTTGAGGATTCCGGGTGAAGCTCGCTTCCACCTTCGGCCTGATCGTCACTTACCATCAGGTGAGATACAGGCCAAGAGCTTCCTCGTTGTGGATTAAAAAAAAAAAAAAAAAATTTTGTATAGATATAGACACGTAGAAAAAGAGAGAGTATTGATCCTGGATCCTCTGCTTGTCTGCTGCCTGCGTATCCTATCGTAAGGCGAAATCACTAAGTCTGAACTAAATAGTTGATAGTTAGTCGCTTCCTCGTCGCCAATAGTACAAAAATACAAACAAACTCACAAGTATTTTTTCACCACATTGTCAGTTGTCACAATGACTGCCGCGTAAAACTTATTTAGAAAATGTATCTATTTATTTAAGAATGTATGTGCATAACGATGGAACAACGACATCATAAAGGTAGCAGGAAGGAGCTGGATGCAGGCCGCTACCAACCGGGCAACATGGAAAGCATTGGGGGCGGCCTATGTTCAGCAGTGGACGTCTTATGGCTGAGATGATGATGGTATGTGCGTGGAATGTTGTGGGGTTCGCATGTGTTTGGCAGTTACCTGTGCAGCCACTCGCGCAGCACGTGCTTGCGGAAGTGTCGGGCGCGGCGGCACCGCAACGCCAACAGCAGCAGACCGGCGCCGACGCACAGCGCCGCGCCGCCCGCGCACGCCCAGACTAACGCTGTGCGCGCGCCCGCGCCGTCGCCGTTGGATACCGTGGCCGCTGATAGGTTAACCACCGCTGCGGGCGAGATGGTTATGTGTGAGCATGACTGACGCGACTACAGCGCGACTGTGACGCGACGTGCGACTGTGACAGACTGCTTCATACAAATTGGATAGACTCCAGAAATTATTACTTCTCAACACTGGTCCATATTATTGCTCCGAACCAGTGCGCTAGATCTGGGACGTGTATTAAAAATGCACCATACCCTAAATTGGAAGATCTAAAGGAGTCGAAGCTTACGTATAGCCTAAATCTTGGTAAGGCCTGATCACCACTTTTCATCAAGCGAGATGCAGGCCAAGAGCTTCTCCGTTGTGGGTATATAAAGATCATGGATATGATTATTTTACAAACATCATTGAAATGGAAATCTTTAGATGCCTGTAACCAGCTGGCAGCAGTGGAAGTCATTTGTCTGAAAGGAATGAGTTAACTGCGCACCTACCCGTGACGTAACATAGACACACTGGTACGAACAGAGCGAATGGCGCATTTTCATTTCAAAATCAAAAAAATCAAAATCAAAAATATTTATTCAGTTTAGACCACAAGTGGCACTTATGAACGTCAACAGAAAATAATAAAAAAAGAAAAAGGTAGCCCTTATGGGGCACTTTACATGTCTCCTTATCTTTTGGGCCCTACCAGCGCTTCGAGACAAACATATGGCAAGTGCTGAGAAGAAACGCCGGAACAAACTCAGTCACCACTTATTGCCAGGAATTATCTAACGGTAAGAATAGTCAAATTTAAGTACATCAAATATGTGCAGACTGAACTGACCACGCATCCTTGTCATCAATATAGTCTCGAACCTTGTAGTACCCTTTGGACATAAGGGTATTTTTTATATGTATCTTAAATTTGTTTATTGGCAATTCGACAAGGTTGTGTGGTATTTTGTTAAATATGGTAATACATTTCCCCAAGAATGAATTACCTATCTTATGCAACCTAAATGATGGAACAGCAAGTTTTGATCTTTCTGTTAAATTTAACTGTGGACAATATTGATTAAATCAAGAACCAGTCTTTACATTCTAGTCTATAGTAAAGTTAGTCGTTTATAATCAGTGTATTATAATTAGTGTTATTATCCACTCGCACGTGTTACCTATACGCCCACATAGGTAGATAGTATGAATTCAATGAGAGACCCTTCTGGTGCCGTCCGAGAGCCCGACGCTCCGACATATCTATCTTTTGAACCAAGGATAGTGCACATTTTTTGGTGTGAACAGTTGTAAAGATAGGTACTACGTATATAGCCTAGCTGCCCTTAGTTAGAAACTTTTGTGTTAGTTAAGAAAAACCTTATCGCAATGCAAGTACCAGCAAAAACTTTTTTAAGCCAGATAAATTTCGTCGGCCTAAGATAAACGTAAACCGCGAGCACCATAAAAATCTTTACAACGCAAAACGGGTATAAACATTATCTTCGTTTGGCACTTTGAACTTCCCAAACTCCTCCAACTCGGCAACTTGTGTAGAACTTATGAAAATTTAAAACGCGCGACGTTTCCCAACGAGAATTTTTAACTAAGTCTCGATTCTGGGATGCTCTAAATTAGCGAAGATTTTTGAAGTTTGAAAACGGCAGTTAAGCCTGATATATGAATGATGTGTTGGGTAATTTGTTGGATCTTTGAACTTCGTATAACGTATTTTTTATTGAAGTTTCAGTGAAAATTTATATGAAGAGGTTAATTTGTACCTACTATATTTAAAGATGCTGATGATACTGTTATTGAAATTCAGCAAAGGAATTGAATTTACGTTAGAACAGAAGCAAACAAAATTTCTAAGTTGTTTCATGATTTTATCAGGAAACCGACTTTTTGTGCAATAGGTACAATTTTGTCTTTATTTTTTTACAAGCCTTCCTTTTCGTCAATATAAACTTAATAATAAAAAAGCAAGCCAAAGTACTACCATCAATAGAGGATAGTACATAGCCACTTTTCGTAACTGTTTTGTTAATTTATCCCAATTATTAATATTATAAATGCGAAAGTAACTCTGTCTGTCTGTCTGTCTGTCTGTCTGTTACGCTTTCCCGCTTAAACCTCGCAACCGATTTTGGTGAAATTTGGCATAGAGATAGTTTGAGTCCCGGGAAAGAACATAGGATAGTTTTTATCCCGGTTTTTGAAACAGGGACGCGCGCGATAAAGTTTTTCTGTGACAGACAAAATTCCACGCGGGCGAAGCCGCGGGCGGAAAGCTAGTAATACTAATAAAAGAGAAGTTAAAAACTTAACATCAGCTGAGATTGTGGTCAAATACCTGCCTTGTTATGCATAAAAAAAGTTTTATTTGCATTGTTTTAATGAATCAACTCTTTATTTAATATTAAATATTTTTACAAAATATAATATCTTCGCATTTATAAGTAGCTAACGAGAGAAAAGTAACAAATTGTAATACAAATGCACCGCCATCGAGCAAAGATGCAGCGAGCACGTAACTAAAGGTTCCCCTCACCGCAAGAAATTACAAACGAACGACGTTCAAATAACGACCCTTTACTTTCGACGATACGATTTTGCATGAACGAAACTAGTTGATAATATCGTTCGTTCGTTCGTTTCAGCCGAAAGACGTCCACTGCTGGACAAAGTCTTCCCCTAAATATTTCCACAAAGATCGGTCCTGCGCCGCTCGCATCCAGGCACCTTCCACCGAAGGCACTTTTTCGAGCCGGATGACGTAGCGTGAGCAGGCTTCCCTCTAGGTGGACTGACGATCTGGTGAAGGTCGCGGGAGGTGTTGATAATATGTCAGGAATGAATTAAAATGTTTTTTATACTATTAGAAGCCGGTCGATCTTATTTCATAAATAAAACACTGGAGACATAAATTGCTCGCACGTTAAGTATTAAGTTAGGTATTTAATTACAAAGGATCTCGCAAAAATTTCCTGAACCTATCTCAAAATACCAAAGGGTGTTTAATTAATTAAAGTTAGTGGTTAGACGATAGCCCAATAGCGTTATTAGTTTTACCCAACCAACCGCAGAATGTTTTAAGTGCCCGGGATATGAGACCGCACTGAGACTGACACGTGGCTCTCGTAAAATGTACTTTTAAAGAGTTACTCTAGGTTGCTCTGTGTGAAGATCTTCACACTGAGAGGCGTTTGTTGACCTGAATATAAAAAGCGTGTTAAAAAAAACTAAAATACTACAGTCCCGTTTGGTCTAGCACTTAACTCAGCCAGTGCCTATGTTTTGGGAGGGAACGGCTCGGGAGGGTGTTCTTCTTCTTCTTCTTTTCGTGTCGACAACAAACCTACACAATGTCAGCCCAAAACTCCGCCACAAGAGTGGCGTTGTCAGTAGCACTCATCAAATCCTCCTGAATGCAGTTGCTTGGGCACTCAGGGCATCAGGTGCTTCATCGACTGGGGAACAAAACCGCACCTGCACTCCATGTTTAAGCCATCCAAGAATCCCCACCTGACCAGATTGTCCTTACTACGGCCAACCTGCGTCTGAAGTCTATTTAAAGACTTCCAGGTAAGCCAGGGTAAGGAAGGGTGTTTTTAGGACGTCAAATGTCAGCGAGACGTCAAATGTGCTTCAGATTTGTATGCTCTGACGCGTCATAAAATGCCAATATCACCCTTTCCGTGCCGCTGTCATACCTCAGGCACTGACTGAACAAAGCGTCATTTAAAATCTTTAACTGGTAACCTATTAATCGCCTATTAATGTCAGAATCTAGAAATGTGCAGACTCTACAAATGCCAGTTTCTATAAACGCCCGATTCTGACGGCTACCGAGAGAAAATCCCAGAGGAACTACAAAGAAATTGATTTTGAAATCGCACGTTGTAAAGAGGCGTGCACATATGCAGTCGCTCGTTCCGCCGTTCATACATGAGCGGGCACATTGGCCCTGTTTGCTGCTCTCGATTCTTCTAACAAGTACGGATAGTAATAGAATAAATCGAAAGGCATTATATTGTCTAGAATTGTAGAAGCTCCGGATAATAAGTTATTGTTTCATTGTGACTCTAGAGGCAGAATACATTTGAGTGTCGTACTCGTACAGATATTCTATTTTTGTGCAATGATTGAATAAATGATTTGCTACTACGAGTATGAACAACATTGTCGGTCAGGGAAATACAATCTGTCCAATTAAAATTGAGAGAGTCGATCCAGCTGTGAAGACAGCTACAATCAGGGTGATAAATATAATTTGTTCTGTCACTAAGTTCTATATTATATTATGCATTTGACAGCATGATGAGTATTGTAACAGGGTCCATTAATATGCGTTGTAATTAATATCGGAACAATATGCAGCCTATTATTATACAGAAATTGGCTACTCATATCCTTTGGCACACGCTCCTTGCTTTGAGAACAATCGCTCTATTGTCAGTCGAATGAATGTTCCTTTTATTGTTTCATTCCGAGCACTGCCTGATACCCTTGCATGGATGTGGTCCACTTAAAACCATTTCGCTTCCTAAACACAATGAGGATTGAAACTCATTACTGATATCACTCGAACGATCGATGGCAACAGCAAAAAGCTCGAACGTTTTTAAAATACCCCCACAATTCATTACTTGATGTGTCTAGGGAGATTGCATCGTATGCAGTCGACAGTGAGTCTGAAATTGCAGTGGAGGTGTCGAGACGCCGCGCCGTATTACGCCGTTATATTGGGAAACTTGCCGCGGTTCGAGCTATACGCGCGGTAGGGTGGCCATGTTGTGTTAAAAAAATATAAGTGGAAAAAAAAAACCTTATAGAGTTGCAAAGTTAACTTGCATTATTTCTTTCTTTCTAAAACAGCACTAACATACTTGAGTCACATATTGACATTCATAAAAATGCTCTCAGCATATGGGGCTCCAACAACCAGCCGTCAAGACGCTGGTTGTTGGATCCCTTTTGTACCCTTTGCACCACCGGCCTGCACCACTGGTGGTGCAAAGGGTATTTTTAAATCCCTCTTGCACCACCAACAAATAGTGCTGTGCTACCATCGACTGT